AATTTTTTTTGTTTCTCTCATGACCCTTTTCAGCTCATTACCTCTTTGATGTAGTGTAGCCATGAAACAACACTGACATAATACTGTATAAAAGGAAACAATATACTGAGATGTATTAAATGCAACACTGATGATGGATTACTTCATGGGCATGAAATTTTGCTCCCTCACAATCAGCAGTGTTTAAGGAACCTTCTCAACTCCCCAACTAAAGAACTGTATTTTTATTTGTACTTTCAGGTACTGTCTAGTAAGACTGGGAAAAAACAAATCAAAGGAAACAATATGAAGAAAGCATGTGTTTGCCTTTATTGCAACAACAAAATATTGATGCCCATATTTTTCTGCCAAATCTCAGTGCTACATACCTGTTTCCATTCCTTATGACATGGTGAAGAAGAGCTTTTCTTCTTCCGTACAGATGACTGTTCTGCCTATAGTGTAACACCTCATGCTTTTTTTCCCTTTACATTTCATCCTATTTTAAATCTTTTTATGTTAGTCATGGCTATTTTAAATTTTAATTCCTCTGAGAAAGTATCTTTTTTGATCATGATGGGAAATGTGGTGCAGACAACATCAAACATGTTGTGAGAGAGAAACTGGATTTGAGCCTGCAACAATTTAGTGCTCAGGGCACTATGAGGGACTTCCTGAAGTTCTCTTTCTTCCTAATCTTAAATAATGTAGGATAAAAATCAGTGACTCCAGTTCTTATGTGTCTTCTGCAAGTGTTCCAACTATAAGTATACCACAGATAGGTAATTTCAACAGAGTTAATTTCATTTTAAAAAAATTAAACTGGATTAGAGAATTTTATCACTAGACTTGTGAGGTATAAATGTTGATGATAAAATATTAGTCTGGGTAATGTGGCATTTCAATGGGGAAAAAAAAAAGTTCAAATACAATATTTAAAGAGTTTTATTTACAAATAAAGAAAAGTCATTTATGAGTGAATTTTAACATATAAAATTGAACTGCAGTGCCCTTGAAGCTATGGATGTGTTTATTAAAGACTAAGATCAGCAAATAATGTTTTCTGCTGGAGAGCAAATGTAACTTAATGCAGAGAATTTTTTTGCAAGCTATTTCAAAATAAAACAGCAGTGAAGACAATTTTTTTATACCAGTAAGACTGAAATTTGTTGTAGGGATGCCTACCTCGGAGCACAGTTTGCAGCTGTGAGCTTTAGACAGCACATTTAAAGAGTCATGTTACTTTGAGTAGGGTCCCAAAACATTATGCTGAACAGGGAGTGCTTCAAAGCAAGTACACTGGCTAGGGACGTTCTTAAGTAGTCAACAATAAAACTGATAAAAAGATTCATCTGCTGTTCTAGCTCCCTCTAGAGAGGAATGTTTTCTGTGGTACTGACTGTTTTTGAGCTGGTTTAAGAAAGCAGGTTTCAGTGTTGTTTTTTTTTTTTTTCAAAAACAGAGCTTGTGTCTATGCTTTCCTACAAGTCACAGCTACTATGATGCTTATACTACTGATCTTCTTTTCCTCCCACCACATAGTGAACATACACATGAACACCCACACACTCCTTTTCCTGAAGCCAGTTTCTAGAAAACTGTTAGAGATATGAAAATCAACATTTAATTTCTTCTTCTGCCCAAGTGAATTTAAATTTGTATTCTCCTACCTCTTAATGTAAGCACTGAAATCCTATTGAGATGCAACTCCTTATGAACTTTCTGCATGCTTTTTATTACAAAACATATGATCTCTAACAATACTATGTCATTTTGGAGAGTTATTTTGACTTTTCAGTCCTCAGCTCTTGATATCAGTTACCTAGAATGGCCACTGTATAGATAGTTTTTAAATGAGAAATCGAGATGAACATAGTTAGTTAAAATGTGAGATCTACATGCAAAGACTAAGTTCTCATTTAAAGTTTCTTGTTTGAAGAAACCCTTTGTCTGGACTGCGAATTGCCCCCTAGAGTTATGTATGCCAGCTCTTTAACACAAAGAGAGAAAAAGGGAATGTGCTGAACTTCGATTCAAAGCTATTTATAATGGTCTAAAAATAGCTAACTTGAAAGGTTGAGAGAAATCCAGATTAATCTTATTGATTCTGAAAGCAAATAAGGTATTGCTGCACGTCATCTTGGATCACTTAAGCAGTTAGATGAAGTGTAATGTAGGTATTGGATTTTAATGGTAATAGATGAGCTTCAGTTGGACTTCAGTTGAAATAGTGTGATGGAAAATGCTAAACTATTTAATAGGTCACTCTGCATATTTCATTTGTTACCTGATCATCTGGTACAAATGAAAGTTCAGAGTTTTTTCATTGTGATTCTTCTAAACATATGTAACAATTTCTAGCAAGAGAATTGTTCTGGGTCTAAGCTGTATAAAGAGTGCTCCAGAGCTCTTTTCTTCCAGTGTTTCTGTAAAGCATGCTCTGGTACACAGCAAAAGTAGCAGTGATCACCAGTCCATGTGGGACAGTGATGCTCAACATCTGAACAGCAGCAAAATTCAGGGACATTGTTTTTTCAAGGCTGAAGTTCTGTTTGGAAATACTTCCTGGTAGCATGGTTTTTAGGCAGATAGTACTGGCATAGTTTTCATGTATTGTCACTCACAAAAATGTATTGATAGGACATTCACTCACACATGCTGAAAATGTGGAAAGACTCTAAGTCTTGGAAAAATAAAATAAAGTTAGATTCCAAACGAGTAAGAATGAGTAAGGCTTTATACCATGAATGAACTTTCTTTCCCTGAGACATAGCCAGCAAACACTGAATAGATTTGTCTTCTCACAATTAGACACTTATATTTGAGTTGTTACTTATATTTACCTTATAACGCAGAGAGCTATGACTCATTTGTTCCCTTCTAGATAGACGTATGAAAGAGATCAGATAGAATCACACTTCAGAGTCTCACCGCTGCCTGGACAGATTCAAAGCAGCAAAGATGTGGGTTTCTCTCACAAAAAAGAGGCTGGGAGAATTGGGGTTTTTCAGTCTGGGAAAGAGAGGGCTACAAGAATATCTTGGAGCAGCCTGCCAGTAGCTAAAGAGCACCTTCAAGAATGCCAGAGAGGGACTTTTTACAAGTAATGGGACAGGGCAGAGTAGCTTCAAATTGAAAGACCACAGGTTTAAGTTACATATTAGAAAAAAAATTCTTCACTGTGAGGGTGGTGAGGCACTTGAGCAGGTTGCTCAGAGAAGCTGTGGATATCCCATTCCTGGAGGTGCTGAAGGCCAGGTTGGACAGGGCTTTGAGCAACCTGCTTAAGTGGAAGGTGTTCTTCCAACGTGTTGAAAGTGGATGATTTTAAGGACCCTCCCAGCCCAAGCTGTTCTGTGATTTCTGCACTGTAAACCTTTCGTGACATCCATTACAGGCTGAAGATACCTACATGTGGATGTCTGCTGACATGACCAGTGTTTGTATCTCATTATAAACATGGAAATGTGGTCTTGCCTCCAGCTAGAAAAGGACCTGGATATCCCAAAAAGCCTGTGTCAGCTTTGCATGCTCAGAGGTCTTAGGATATCCTAGTGTCTTAAATGGCAGAAGTGACCTACCTAGGGACAATTGCTTTGAGCCCAGGGATAGCCTAACTACATGAACAATTCATCTGAGCAACTGCTGTGTATATAATTCAGGACAAATTTAATTGTTGTCTAGGCTGCATTTTCTATTTCTGCTATAAGGGAGGTTTTGACACTCAGTTGCAGGATAGAGCTACACCAAATGTAAGTGCCTTAAGCTTAAGCTGATCCTGTTTTTAATAACTGAAAGGTTTTATTGACAATCACCACAGACCTTTCACCTTAATTTTATGGAAATGGAAATATTATGAAGCTAATTTTTCAGTTTATTTTTATTTTAAAATCCCTCAAGCTTTCATTCTGTACACAGGACATGTTTCTTCTATAATTCCATTACTCTTTTTTTATACAATCCACCATTTAGGAAAACATAGATGAACAACTTGATATTAAATCTTCTTTTAAAAACAAATACAAAGTACAAAAACTTAATGCTTGATTTTTCTTCACTTGCATAAACTGGAGTGTTGTGATGATGCTGTAATATATATTATAAATTGATAAACAAATAGTACTTTTAAATATGATCACTCATTTCAGAACAGGTGGGTTTTTTTCTTCTGTGCAGTGAATGTAAAGATCTGAAATTTCATTTGCCTGCATATTTTAACAAATTTCTGTAAACAGTCCTAATACGAGTTTTTGTTTAAGGAAATACCTGACTGAATGTTAGTGGGAAATTTAAGTGAATAAACCAGAAATTAAAATAAAGTTTCTTTTCTACTACTTAGGGAGAAAATGTTGTTTATACCAAATAGTTGACCATCCTATGGAGTTTGCTAGTTATTAGTCCAGTGATGATGTAACTTAAGAAATGTATGTTCATCTTATCCTAAACGAAAGAAATTCTGTAACAACTGGGTTTAATGATGTGTTTTAAATGTGAAAACATAGTTTTCTAATGTAACAGAACTCTGTAGCTTAATGGAAACTTTTATGAAGGGTACAGTTCTTTTTCTGACATAGTGGAACAAACATCTTTAAGACAGGAACAATAATTCACTTCTTCACTTCTTGCCAAAAATGGAAAATGTGTTCACATACATTTATACATACCTACCTGTTTTGAATACATTTTCGTAAGTCTTCATATAAATAAAGTCAAATAGGACATCGTTAATTGGCAACATTTCTTTGCGGAACAATACAATGAAGATATTTTTTTAATTTTTTTTTTTTTACTCTTTGCATATTAATTTCTACTTCAAAGACCACTTAGTCTGTATTTTCCGGTACAAAAGAGGCTTTTTATGTCTAATCAATTTGAAGACTGAAAAGCAGACCAGTTTTCCTCTTTCTGTAAAAAATGCTCATTTGTATGCTTTTTATTTATTGAATGGGATAGAGCTTGTTATTCACCATTATGAAATGTTCATATTCTTAAATTTTTATGTATGCCTTTCTTTTTTGCAGACTAAAACTGGTATTGCATTGTTGTATGATGAAGTATCTGAAAATGCTTATGACATCCGACTGAAACTTACAAAAGAGGTATTAACAATTCAAAAACAAGATGTCGTCTGTGTTAGTGGAAGTGATCACAGTGCAAATGTAAGTGCTTCTTTATCTCTGTGCTTTTGACTACGCACTTCAATGTCTTCTGCAGAGGTCACCTTATTCTATTGGAGTGCAAGAGATTTTATTGGGTAATGGAAATACAAGTAATTACCAGTTGTTGATTTTTCTTTGCTTACCTACAATCATAAGTGTAAAAACTGCAGTTTTGACCAGTACTATACATACTTTATTATGGAATTTATAATCTTAACAGAAGCAAAAACGTCTCTAAATACCAAAATTAAAGCATTTGTCCATCAAATATTGCTGGGTCATTAAATTAAGGGAGAAAAAGAAAAAAAATATTTCCTAATGGAAGCATTTGAAGAGTAAACTGATACACCAAAGTCTTCTTCATTTGTGTACCAGACAGGATGTCTGTTCAAGGGCACTGAGCTGACTGAGAGAACACTTGATGGGCACTTATTTCACTGTAATTCTCTTTCAGGCACAGATGGAGCTTAATTAGCGCCAGCACATATTTGGTGCTTTTTTAACCAAAATTCAGTTATGCTGCATTTTCAAAGCCTGTGGTGCCTCTAAGCTATAGAGGAATCTTCTATGGTCTGTGTGACCATTTGGTAATGTCACCAGATAAAATGGTGGCATTTTGCATAAGCAGTACAGCAAGAGTGTCTAGGTTATCAACATCCTTAAGTAATGTATTTCATTTTCTCATATAAACAGTGAAACAGTGTTCTTCTTGAAATTGGAATACATATACTTAATTTAACTGAGTGAAATCAATTTCATGAACTTTGCTGGTGTTTCTTAGAGCGCACAGTTCATGGCATCCTCTTCAGAGGGGCCAAGAGAGATTGTTTCTGTCTGCTTGCTGTATTGAATGTGTCATGTAAGCTTAAAATCTGGGACTTGGGGACATCGAGTGGGTTTGTGATAGTCTGCTAAGAATTAGAAGCAAAAAAGCATATAATGGGTGTCTGTGTGTGTATATATGTGAGTATGTTAGAGAGTCTACCTCTATAATATGTAAATATTTCATTCCTGCTGCAGTATTCATATAAATTGTTTAATATCACACATAAAATAATTTGAAATAGCTTTTAGCAATTCAAAACATTATGTACTTGTCCGTGGAATTCTGTGGAACATAACTTGCTCTTTAAAATGTTAAGAAAGTTTGATCGGTGACAGGCATGTCCACTTCTGGTTGGTTTGCTGAGATAAGTATAAGCCTCGATCATCAGCTTTGCATATACTTTCTTTTCTTACTTTTTTTTACTTTCTTCACTGAGAAGCATGAAAAAACACAGCTTTTTTTTTTTTTACCAGTCCTTGCTGGTAATGCTGATAAGTTGTATGCAAACTTGTTGCAAGAGTCATAGTAAAATATAATGAGACTTCAGTATATATGTCTGTGCATAGAATTATACATGGTTGTTATGGACTCAATGGTGTTTAAACGCCTTGTGTATGAATCTCATAGAGAAGAATCAAAATTCTATCCTACGTAGTCCTAGGTTACTTCTTGATTGAACTAGCACAAGCTAGTTGCATCTGAGAAAACATTGTATCAAATCTGTGTATTTATTGATCAACACCCAAAATACAGCAGGACATCCCCCACCCAACATTCTCAAACTCCAACATAAACAGTACAAAACCCCACCCTGAATAACCCTGCCTCTTCCTTTTAGTATCAAGATTTGGGTTGATTTTAATGCTTTTTACTCCTGCACTTGATGGGTACCCTAAATAGTATTTCCTGATGGAAGACAGACAGGGAGACAAGCTTTCGTAATATTTAAGGAATTGAATTTTGAAATAAATTCTGGAAAATAATAGACCTTGCAGAGGAGGCATAGCTGGGATGTGCAGCCACTGCATATAAAATGAGTGCAAGTTCCTTGATTGTATTTCATGTCCAGTAGTGATCACAGTAATGGGTCGAGCATAGAAAGACATGATTCCTAGGACTGTGGTAAAGAGAAATATTTTTTCTTGGTTGTAGATGTAGTGTTAATGTGTAAAAGTAAGTGAATTTCAAGTATAATACAGATGGTAATTTAGGTTAGAGTTGCAAAGTATTGCATGGCTCTAGGTATGACACCCATTCAGAAGGAATTTCTCCTACCTCATACTGTTGAAAAATAAGAGTGGGAAGTCCTGCTGAGCTGCCCTTTCCTGGGAAAAAAATTGTTAGCGTTACCCTTATTTTCCTTAAATTTTCTCACTGAAGACTCTGAAAACTAAATTTTAAGGGTCTGATAGGTTTTCTGCGTCCCTTACAAGACCTCCCCAAGGTCCCTTTCTGAAAGTGTTATCTGCAGTCCTCACAGGATTCTGTCATCAAACTCTAATGAGAAAAATGGATTAGACTGTCTTCATGACCATATTCAGTTTTTCTGCATTATATTTTGAACCAAATAAAAACTTCTGAACAGCTAGCATTTAATACGAACACAAATTGACTAACATGGAGATAAACACTGTTGCTTTTTACCATATATAAATTTCTAGTACATAGGAGCTCAAAAGCAAAATTTGAAATCAGGCTGAAATAGTTGGTAGTTCTCTAACACTGAGCTTGGTAAATTTTACAATTACAGTTACATGATAGAAATTCCAGAGATAAATGCTTTATATTTCGAGTGGTTAAACAGAAGAGTTTTCATCCCTGTTCTGTATGATTCAAAATATTAATAGAAAATGGCAACCTGAAAGTCAATGCTATAGCAGTCATAAACGATCACATTGTCTTACTGATTTATTCTCCTTTCTCTCTAGTTTTGGATTCTCAGGTACTTGTAGTTAATCTTTATTTTACACATGGCTATTCATCAAACCAGTTCATTTGCGACAAAAAAAAAAAAAGAAGGCAACTTGTGCCTTCTTTTTGTACTTACCGCAAAGGCATGGAATGAGAAAAAAAACCTGAGTGTAGTATGATTTTTCCTCTTAGTTGGGATATTTGAATGGAAAATTATTGGAAAGGAAAGTTCTTTTTCTTCTTGTGGTAATACTTTTTTCTCCAGCCACTTACATGGGATGGCATTTGTGGGATGCATTTGCTTCTAGGCTCTCTTTTACTGACAGGTTCATTAATCCTGAGGAACACTGAGGACAGGATTTGCAGCTGTGCATATTTAGCTCTGCCAGTCTGTTGTAGTTCTGAATGCTACACTGAGGACTGGCAAAGACATCAGTGATCACTAGAACTACTGTGATGAGTTGGACTTTCAGCAACAGAGATTATACCCAAGGACAAAAGGTTCTTACTATAAAATACCTTTTACTACCATCATCTAGTTCTATTCCTATTTCATATTTTGTAATCTGACATTCATTTAAATGCTATTTTTAAGCATTGAGAAAGCTTCACCTTTGATGAGAAATTTTGTACCTGTCTTACTGTAATTAAATGTTCAGCCCATTTCAATTGTTTCAGTCTTGGACTTGGATGAGAGAGTAATAAGAGAAAAACATGTTTTTTGACATTTGAGGGGTATATAGAAAAAATAATGTAGAATTAGCTGGGTTTTTTTGTATTTGATTTTTTCACAGTAGACAAGCTGCTTTTAAGTATCTCTAAAAATCCTTCTGGATTTGCAGCTAATTAGGGAAGTAATATTTTGAAGTGCTTTTTTATATAATATATTTATATAAAATTTATAAAAATAATTTTCTATGTAACTGTAAATATTTATATAATTTATATTTATGTTCGAAACATGCAATTTTTTCCATCAAGGTACAATTCAGATCTTCAGACTTGGCAAATTCTAGTGTTTTAAGCAAGTCTTCATGACTGTGTTACGTTTGAGGTGTTCAGATTTTAAGCATAAAGGAGAATGTATAGGTGCATCCAAATCACGGTGATAGAGTTGACCTCCGTGTGAGGCAACACTTGGAATGTATCAGGCTCTGTCTTGGGGTGGATGATAAGCAAATTGAGAGTTATGAGTTAGGATAAAAGGGCAGAGGAGAATAAAAGGGCAGGGTAGGATAAAAGGGCAGAGTAGCAAGGGTGACACTGTTGTGGGTGTTTGCTACAGGCTCCTGGTCAGGAGGAGGGAGTGGATGAGGCCTTTTACAGGCAGCTCAGAGCAGCCTCACAGTCACAGGCTCTGGCTCTTGTGGGGGACTTCAACCACCCTGACATTGCTGGAGAAGCAACACCATGAAGCACAAACAGCACAGGAGCATCCTGGAAAGTGCTGATGGCAACTTCCTGACACGGGGAGTGGAGGTTCCCACAAGGAATGGTGTGCTCCTTGACCTTCCACTAAAAAACAGAGAGGGCCTTGTTGGAGATGTAAAGGTTGGGGGCAGTTTTGGCTGTAGTGACCATGAGATTGTGAAGTTCAGTACAGAACAAGAAGAAGCAGGGCAGCAAGTAAATTGTAACCTTCAGCCTATTCAGGGCTAAAGAACTACCTTTAGCCTCTTCAGGGGATCTTCTTGGAAGAATCCCATGGGAATGGACCTTTCAGCAAAGAAGGGTCTGAGAGTTGGCTTATATTGAAGAATCACTTTCTCCACATTCAAGAACAAACCAACCCAGTGAGCAAGCAATTGAACAAAGGGGGAAAGAGACCTGCATGGATAAAAAGGAACTCCTGTCATTACTCATGTGTAAGCAGGAAATGCAGAGGAGACGGAAGCAGAATCAGATCACTTGGAATTAACATAGAGAGGTTGTCAAAGTAGAAGTGAAACAAAGGCCAAGGTCCACCTGGAATTAAATCTGGCCAGGGATGTCAAGGACAATAAGAAAGGCTTTTCCAGATGCATCAATAGCAAAAGGAAAACTAAGGATAATGTGGGCACATTACTAAATGGAGAGGGAACCCTCATAACAGAAGATGCAGAGAAGGCAGAATTACTGAATGCTGCCTTTGCACAGGTCTTCATTGGTAAGATCAGACCTCTGAATCTCTGACCTGAGAAACCAGGAAAAAGGACTCTTGGAAGGCAGACTTTCCCATGGTCAAGGAGGGTTGGATTAGAGAACACCTAGGCAAACCTGACAT